TCAGCAGGACCGTGAAAGAGAAAAGACCCCTCATGTATATATATATTACTTTCATGCTGTGACATGCAGTTGTATCTAATTTCCATGCTTTCAGCTTCTCCTTCATCTTCATTGTAGAATTGCGAAATCCTCTGTGACCTGATGCTGTATATAGATTATTCAAAAAGTGGCATCTCGGTATAAAACAGCAGACAGCACTTTTTTCCTACTTCTATGAGTCGGTCTGTTTTTTGAAAATGAGCAGAATATCTTTGCTGCATTCTTACTTAGAAATCAGTGATCCAAATTTATATCTTCATTGATTTGGCACTTACCAGCTTTCCCAAATAAGACATTACAAGATCCTTAATGGCTGTGCTTTTGAAGCTTAGTAGTGGACTGGCTCCTTCTGTTTGCTTCCAAGGTAACCTTTCATGTTCACTACATTTTCAGAACACTTTGAATATATGCCCAAAGACATTCATCCTTCCCCATCAAACTTCAAAGGCTACTTCAGTCACTCTCTCCTGAGCAAGTGAGGTTGTTGTAAGAGGATGATTTGTTTAAGTGTCTTTCTTCCCTCCACACTGGTAGTTAGTCAACGCGTACCCAATACTGTGCAATGCAGCATGGAGGTGCCCTGCTAAGTCTGAGCAATTTAGCTTGGCTACTGGAAGCAGTACAGTTACATGATCGTGTGTGGCTTCACCTCAGCTAAAATTGTCAGCTTCATGTTTGACCTGGTTACGCTGAATAGAGTGTCAGTAGAGTGAAATGCTGCCTAGCAAAAAAGAGGAAAAAACAACCCCACGTTACTCTCTCATATTTTGATGTGTTATTCTGGTGGATTCTGGTGGTAGGTATTGGGTCCTTGCAAGCTGGCTTTTCAATGAAGAAGAAACCAGTGATGTGGAAGTCGGCTCCATCCTTCTTGCTACACACAGGCCTATAAAACAAGGGTTTCGTCTAAGACTTAAAATTGCTTGCATATGAAGAAAAAGGTTCTTAACAGACAGCAGTGATATTGCTGGGTAATATGTAGACCTAGTTTGTGGAAATTAGGTCTTCGGTAAAATTATTGGGTAATGTGAAAATTCTGAGAAATAGGCAGTAAGAGAAATTTAAAGACTGAGTTACAGACTGCTGGCTGACCACAGCTTGAAAAGTAGGGCTACTGACATGGTGTGTGGAAAAGCCCATTTAAAACCATGCTCTGTCTGATTTAGAGTGACGTGGGATGAAAATCCACAGTAAATACCCATAATCCATATTCAAATATTAGAGCAGGGACTTGTATCAGATTGTCCTGAACCCTTGTGTTATTACGAAAGTATTGAAAGGCTTTGCCCGCTTTCATTGCAAAGGGAAAATAACACTAATTTTGGGAGCTTGAAAGATTCTGCAGGACAGAATTAAGATATGCTGGTCTAGTTCTGTGTTCTTGCTATTGTTGTGCAGCATGTGAAAGTGAAATGCAAATGTTAGCAATATTTTAACCACTCAGATTTGTCCTCTGTTTGCTTAGGCTTCCCTGTGGATGATCTTTAAAATACATTACATCACAAATATAGTTATACAGAGTTCAAGTATTAATATTGTGCAGACTTCTGTATCCCTTCTCTCCTCTCCCCCATCATCCTGTAAAATCATGGGCTTTTCTCTGTGATTCATGGGATTTTTTTAATGTCTTTGTTTTGTTTAAGGAAACACCTGAGTCATGATTTTACTTTTTTCTCTGGAACCACAAGGAATACAATTTTTCTTGTAAATGAAAACTTAAATCCCTTGACTCTGGGCTTTAAGCAAAACACCAATTACTGTTACAATTTCTCATAGCTTTTGTTATCCCACTTTAGCATGAATGGTACTATTTCTAACTAAACACACTGTTAAACACCATTGGTGCTTCCTTTAGTGCTAGAAACTCACAGAAAACTATTTAGCTTGTTCTGCAGTACAGGGTTTTTATTGCCTAGGCTGTTTGCTTTAAACCAAGTCTTATCTGTGACCATAGGAGAGATGCTGAGGTGAGGGAAGACAACATTGCAGGTTGAAGCTTCATATCTTTGCATCCAGAGAATAGTAAGTGAAATGGGGAGCTAATTTTAAAGTTATTTTCTATACTTGACACACCAGCCCCAGCTGAGAAACATAATTGCAGTTGATTTAATTGCTGTGCCATGATCTTTCCCAGTATGATAATAAGCATTTAGTGGCTTGGTGACACTGGGATAAAGTTATTTTAGGAAGCACTCTGTGGTTTTATTTGTCAGTATCGGGGATGCAGAAGTACCCATTGGCCTCTTTGTACACAGATAATAGAAAAAAAAACCCCACATATTTGCTGCAAATCATCTTCTGACATCAACACTTACCTGTTCTGTAAGCATGCGTAGCCATTTCTCAAAGCTGCCATTATTCTCCTTCTGATTCCACTGAGATCAATATCAGCTGAAGGAAGAGTTGAAGATAGCTTTCACAGTGGGAGATTGCTTTGATTGTTGGTATTTGCAACCAGTCATCAAGCAGTGTACTAAAGACTTGTAGTCCCACATGGGAATGACCACTCATAAAATCTAATTCCTCATTCCTTTTGGTTTGTATAGCTTTTATCTTGTTTCTTAATTTAAAAAATATTGATAATGGCTAACTGGGAGTGTCAGAATGTTTTTATATGAACATCTATCTTCACAACCAATATGCCATTTTTAATGCATTAACTGCCCTTACAGATTCCAAATGGAGACTTATCTCCATGCCCATTTCCTTTGTGTCAGAATTACCTGCTTTATTTAGTCTAAATGCGTGAAGAATTTTATGTGTTCATACACCACTAAACTTATTTTCCTTCTGAACATACAAGCAACCATCTAGGTACAGAATACATGACATTTCAATGTTGTTCACCTGGCTTGGTAGTGAAACTTTTGCAGCAAATTCAATTAAGGCATCAATTTTAGGCTATGCTGATGATAATAAATTCCCCATTTAATGGAAGTTATGCTTTGATGGTTTTTCACGTCATTTTAATTAATCAGTGTAAGTGCTAATGAAACAATGAAGTGGTGTGAGTCATAGAAAATAACTATCTTCTGCTAAGTACTATGCAAGAAAGAATAACAGTGCTTGCCAGACAGATACATAAATTAAAGTGGCTTCCTTGAGTTTACGGTTTTCAGCTTTTTTTATTTTGTATTTTCATTAGTCCTAGGAATGTGTCACAAAATGAAGTAAAACTACTAAAAGCATGGAAGTCTAATGCAAAAAGTTAATGCTTAAGTTGTCTAATTACAGGCAACAGAGGATGTGATTTTGTAAGTACGATTAGTTCTTATTGAATAGTCTTCCACTATGCCTTGAAATGTGAGTCACTACTAAAACCAAGAACCTACACAAAATGTAGCCCTTTGCTTCCATCATGGCTTTGAGAAACAGAGGAGAGAAGTTGTCTGGCTTTTGCATGATGTGCAGGGCTTCCACTCTCAGAGCACATCAGTTTGAGAAGCAAAGCTGGGACTGCAGACATTCCTTCCTCAGTCAGTGATTCAGCTCCATTCACCACCTGGAGCAGGGGAAAGTTGCAGCCAATTTGGTGGCTGGTTACCAGTCCACATGAAGCTGGCACTGTTGGCTGTTTGTTTCTGGTAGGCTTCACTTGAGTGCAAGCACTATCTAATTAGACATGGAGAGATTTGTTGAAATTTGTTCGTGCTTGGAGCATGAATCTTTTAACAGATATTGATGCTGATTCATGGGACGCTAGCTGATGAGGGAGAAGGTTGTGCATCTGGCATGCTCAAGGTCGTGTCATGGATTCACGTGTTTGTGGGAAAGTGCAGAGCTGCTAGGCAGCTGCCCAGAAAATGTGCATTGCTGCCCCATCTGCTCCTTCTGAAACCCCATGAACGAGGTGCAGCAAAGAGCTAGAGGAAAATCCTGGCACTGCAAATACATGAAATGCAGACTCTTGTGGCAGAAGTGGGAAAGTGCATAAGCTGAGGTCTAATTGAGTGAGTCATATGCTCAGAGCAATGAGACTTGACAGGTCTAAGTGAGAAAAGCCCCAGAGGGGCCTCTTCAGACAAACAGCACTATTGCTACAGCAGTTCAGTTGCTTCTCAGCCTCTTGCTAGACCTGCAGCCTACCCTTGAACTGTAACTTGCAAATGTTTCCAAAATATGAACTGCGTAGGAAGTTCATACTTGGGCATTTTGCAATGTCTTGAATGTCTTGACTGAGAGTTGTCTTTGCAGGCATTTGATCTCACTGAGGTATATTTGTATTTCATGACAATCTGGACTTTAGGGTAAGAGAAAGTTGCCAGATTCTGCCTCTGGAAGGTGTACTTGGTGCCTGTGAGATTCAATGGGAGCTGCTGGCACTGAGGAGGACAGAGCTGAATATTTGGGTTTGATCCTGAAAAAAAGTTTAAAGTCCTGCTGTTTTATTCATTAGAACATAATCTAGACAAACAGGATTTGCAGAGGATTTTTTTTTTTAGTGTGGGGCTCTTCAGAATGTATTTCATTTTTGGTAAAAATAGCTGTTTGAAAAATGATGTGCAACATGAATACCATTTTGAATTTGGTTCCAGCTGAGGGAAGACACATGCAGAGGAGATGGAAAAAGATGCATAATGAGAAATCTGACCTTAACTTACTCCCTTGCTGGCTGCATGCACTTTTACTCAAGAGAGGCCCATAAATAATAGATTTTTTTAAACATTTAACTTAAATCACCAATGCATTTGAATAAATATGTTCAGCCATTCCTTTCCAACTAACAACTGCCATGATGTTTGTTTCCCCAACACCATGCTGTTAAAGCAATTGCAGGCTAATCTATTCTACACCTACCTGAGTTTTGTCAGTTCCGAGTAGTCAAGCAAGTCCTACAGCTTAGTTTTATTCCTCTCCTGTCACAGAGGCAGAGAAATAGCCCTGCTGCTAGTCTTATTCAATGATGAAATTGCTCTTGAGTCTTATTAATATAATGAATCAATATGTTCTCCTGACCTGGCATGTTTTATGTTCCTAGTCTCTGCTTCCTAGGAAGGCACTACTATTTAGGGATCGAATCTATCCAGTGAAGTAAAATGAAGTAATTTTCCCCCCTCTTTATGTATTTTTTCTAGCTAAGGAGTATTCCAAGCAGCATTTTAAATTATTCAAGACTCTGTAGCCTGTGGAATTTTCAATCTGTTGGAAACAGCTGAAAAATAAAAAACACATGCTCCACTGGCTCTGCATACAAGAGTCTGCATTTTAAACCAGAGCTGCTGCATACACTGTAGCTTGTGCCTGTATCATTTTGTGTTGACATCTGCATGATGATGAGGGGAATTATTCAAAGCCAAATTACTATTCAGGGTGGTAGTGCGAAACAATGAAAATGAGATTGCTAGAGGGGAAAATATATGCAACAGTTTGTAAAGTTAGGAAAGAAAATGGGGTCCATTTGCTGAAGCACTGCTTTCCTCCTTAGCAGGGTTTAACCCCTTTACAACAGCTAAAATAAAGCTGTGACATGTTTCATGACAAAATGCAAGTGTTTTCTATGTGCTTTTTTAACTGACGTAGTTATATTTTTTATGGACCTAATCTGAAAATGTCCTGTAGGGTAGTAAATAGTTGGCTTAGACATAGGTCTACACCTTGTTAGAACAGTGGGAATAATTTGCATCAAAAGTAAAATATGACAAAAAATCACCACTGTTCTGTGAACACACTGATTTTTTGTTGTTGTTGTTGCATATGTAAAAACTTCTCCTTCAACAAATACAATTTGGTCTTTAGGGAACTGGGCCCGTGCATTGTGAATATTCAGCCACCATCCTGTATTGGTTAGCTTCATAGCTTGGGATATTAATTTCTGTCCCTAAAAACATTTTCTTCCTTAGCTAACCAAGACAGTCTGACTTGTGAATACTGAAATACAGTATTAGAACTAGCAGTTGGTTTCTACAAGTTTGTGCTAGTCTATACCTGCTTTAGAAGTAGGGGCCCAACATTCTCCAGCTACCCAGCCACTCAGAGGTCCTAATAAAATTTTTGGAAAGTCATCCTTGCCTTGTAACCTAGCTCTGCAGAGCTTCAGGAAAAGAAAAGAAACATCCATAGATTATAGATTCCTTCCTATACTTAAAAATTATCTACAATAGCCATAAATTAAGGAGCTTCTCTGTAAATCTTGGTCAGAAATCCAGGTTTGCATATCACATCCTTCCTATGAAAGAGGCTATTTGAAGCACATCGCTGTTTCACAGATCGTTGGCAGAGCAAAACTTGCACGCATTCTTGAAAGGTTAATGCCAACGTGTAACTCTCGCCTAATTTGCTGCCTCTGAGTCCCCCCTCCTTTTTCTTATATTGTCTGTCCAGTTATTTTACAAAGTGGTTTCAGACTGTATGCCAGACCAAACACAGGCATATGGACACACTTGAACTGTATGCTAAATAAGCGATAGACACTTGCCTTTCCCCTTGAAGGCTGTTTGCTTACCTGCAGTTTAGCTTCACTTACCTGTCTTTTAACTGGTGGCAATAACAGCTTCTACGTGTGATTACAGGAGCTCACAAAATTCCTTATTAACCAAAGAGGTGATTCTAAGGAAACAACAAGGAACTGGAAATTAAAATTTAAGACCTGAGACAAATTGACTAATGCTTTTAAGGCTGGCTTTACTTTTATTAATGTTGGGTTTGTTGCTTTACTGAGTGTTTATTTAAACAAATAAAAAACCCTGAACTGAGTTGTTTCTTTTCCAGCAAGATGATGTTGTTATCAACGTACATTTACAACAGCTGAAAGAAATTAGTTGTTACAATTCTCTGATTACTTGAGAAAGGATTGTAATAAGAAGATAGTTGGGGGTTTTTGACGAAAGAAAAGACAGTGAAGAACCAGATTTTTTTAAAAATCTGCTCTTCGTGGCACGTAGTACCTTTTCCTCTAACGGAATTCTGCACTTCTGTATAGTAAGGAAATCTATTCTGTATATATTTGCATGATGTGCCTTTTATGTGTAAAGGTAGAAATACTTATCCAGTAAACAGTGAAATGTTGCAACCTTTAAACCTATTTTTAGAGATGGACAAACACAGAAGCAGAAAGGAGACACACAAGTTAGAGTAGGTTCCATGCTGAAGAGATCAGGAGTACATCCAAAATGTACAGGAGATACATCCCTGCCTCTTGCAGCATCTGTAACTACTCTTAGACTGGCCAGCTGATACTGAGGTTTGAGAACTGAATGTTTGATAGCTGAATAGTGATGTATCTGCACTGTCTTGCAAAAGATCTGAAGAAGGTTATCAGCTATGTAACTGTTATGAAAGGCACATAAGCTTGGATCACAGAGAGCTGGAAAATCAGGAGTTATCCATGATGAAAGACACTTGCTGGTAGATGAATTAATTTATGGGAGACAATAAGTGTGTGTTTGCACTAAGGTGCAGAATTCTCTTTTCATACGTATACTAGAAGATGCCACTTCTCTGGACCCTGTTCAGTGCCCCAGTGACACATGTTAAATATCCCCCATTGCTGCGGCTTTAATAACCTTCCCACTGATACTGGAAGGCTGCCACGCAGAGTGCAGCCTGGGCAGTAACAGTAGGAGCTTCTTCATTAAACTTCATTCTCCAGCAGGGCTGGAGATGACAGCTATTTAATCCTCATCTTTTGCATGAAAGAGATTTTTCCTGTGTAATGCCATCCTGAGTTTATGCACCATATGTTAATAGGTCAAATGCATCCTGTTGAGAAAATTAACTGCTTGACTGTTACCTTTCATTTAATTTGTAACTGAATGCTTTAGAAAAAATTCTTCTATGCTATGCTAAACTGTCTTCACATTTTCAGTCAGAATTTATCCTTTAAGCAAAAAAAATCTACTTACTTATCCTTGGCATCTGAACCACCAATTTTTGCAAAAGATATCAATTCTAGAAATAGTTTTGAAAATTACTGAAGATTATGAAAATTGTCTACCTCCTCCCTTAACTTCTGATTCCATGCTGATTGCCACAGCTTAATCTCATTTGCTTTCAAGACATGGTACATCATATACTTGTGGCAGAAATGACTATAAAAGGAACGAGCGATTTGGCATCGTTTTAGAATGTAACAGATCCATAATGACGATCAATAGTAACCTAGAAACTGGGTAATTTTTGTGTGCTGTGCTCTTGTAACAGTCTAACTGAGCATGTAGCAAACCTATTTAAATGTTACAAGACCAGTTTCTAATGGGGGAAGGTACTGGGAGAGAAATGCAGAATATCTCAGGCATTCTGACTGATGTCATGTTTGACATCTGCAGAATGAGATGAAATAAGTGTTCTGTTTTGATCTGAAAAAGTAGCATTTGCTTCTCTAAGCAATGTTGAGTTCTGTTCATATGTCAGGGAGAAAATAATCTTTAAAGTGCTCTTTAATGGAATGATGTACCAGGATTTTTTTTCTCTTTGCCATATATCTTATATTTCTCTTATAGCAATGTATTTGAAAAAAAATTATTTATGTAAATTTGATAAATTAGAGCCTGAAAAAAACTTCTTGACCTTACAATGTGTGTTTTCCAGTGACAGATGTTTTAACAGCTTCAGATTTCCCACATCCAGCATGATAAGGATTCTTAATGTTTGGGTCACGAGCTTCATAAAATTTGGCAACAAATGATAATACAGATCAGACACCTGTAGCAAAGGGGTGTGCAGACTTATTTGTTAAACATATGCAAATGCTTTCTGGCTGGATGTTCTGTTAATCTTTGTGTCACCCCTATTTTGCTATTGTAATGCCATTTTTACTCTCAGGATGGGACAACTTCTTGAGCAAACTGGTAAGATTTGTCTTTTTAGCTATGTACTGTTGCCTGAATAGATTACAATAATTACTCAGTGTAAAATCAGTTGTGTTCTGAAAATGTTCATACATCTTCTGATGGAAGTGCATTGTCAAAAGTCTTTTGACAGTACTTTGCTTCCCTGCCCGAACATGTCAGATGCGAAGACTCATGAAACATAAATTATAAAAAAAGTTTTGGCTATTACTTGAGTGTGTCTGCATTACCATCAGAAAGCAGCCAAGGACTGAGTTCCCCAAGCACCTGTAGAAACTTCATGGGTGTAGTCTTGAAGTTAAAACTTTCAGCATCCAAAATCTGAGAGATGAAACCAATTCAAAGCAAGTTGCGGTATGTTGTTGTAGCCTGGGTACAACAAAGTACTTGTCCCTGTTTGTGTGTAGCATGTAACAAGAAGTGGTCTGGAGAAAACTGCCCGAGTGTTAGTGCCAGGAAGACCCCAGTGCCATGTTTGGGATGCCACCTCTACCCTCACCAGTATCTCCATCCGAGGAGCAGTAACACTTCGCAGCTCTCAGGCCAGAGCACTGAGCTGGCTCATACTTAGACGTGGCCGCACGTCGCATCACTGCGGGTGTCTGGGGTGTCCCGGAAGAAAGGCACCTTTCCCTCCCCGTGGGTTTTGTTTTACAACACGCACGCCCGGCTAGCCTGCTAACTGTAAAAGACTCTTTGTGGTACCACTGATTCTTTGCGCGGGCGCCCCCAGCGGAGCCGCCGCCGCCGAGCAGGGGGCGGAGGGAGGTGATCCCAGCAAATGCTCTGAAGCGGCAGCGGTTGGCGGGCTCGTTTTAATGATCTAGCGCTTTAGAGCTGCTCAGGGGAAGATCACTGTCACCGCTCCCACTTAAAACAATTATAACTGTTGCTCTTCTTAGGTAAGATTTAGTATCGTCGTGTTTACTCCTATTTTATATGCCAGTTTACCTTTGCCTATGCCATTTTAGTCGAACTCATGCATTGTCGGAGGAAAACAGTAATGTACTGCGCTTTTGCAATGTCTTCTTAAACATTCTTCCCACTCTTTCAAAAACTCTTTCCATGCCTTCCTGTGAGCATGATATGAAATAACTGGCCTTTTTTGTTCACGAAGGCTTTGCTGTGACAAGGGGTTCTCATAAGGGTAGCATTCTGGCTCTTCTGCTGCCGTGAAGTGTGCTAGCGTTGCCTGAAATCTAGACACGCCAGGAAGATGCAAGATTATAAATGTCAATGAGGAATCACAGTCTCGTTTGGCAGGATCACAGTAAGAGGTGCGGGGTTGTATACGTGCGGGGCTGAGTACCTAGTTTATCGCATGCTCACCTTTTCATAAGTACTGGGGTGGAAGGGGAGCAAAGGTGATGCTATAAATAAAACCACTTCAGTGTGGTTTACGTGCATGGGCTCAGTAAATTGTCTGTGCATTGGCGGCGAGCGACAGCATCTCCTTTTCTGAGGCTGCTGCCCCATCTAGTGTCAGTTCTGTACCTAGGGCACCGTGAGAGGGAACGAGATGCTCGCTCCTCACAGCCTGGGTTATGGATTGCAGGCACATAACTTAAAAATAGATTTGAACAAAAGCAAGTGCGACCCATCAAAGTTTGAGTGTATGTAGGCCAATCAATGAAAGACATAATTAGTTTTTCTTCAGGTGTTCATAAAAGTTTTAACAGAGAATAGTGACAGTTAAAGACAGGGAAGCTGCCCTATCTGCTGGGAGCTTTGTAGGTGTGAGATTGTTCCCTGTAACACGAGAGATGAAGTTGGCCCAAACAAGTACGACTAAATCTGGAAATAAGAATTCGATTGCTTTTGTAGATCATTCAGTAATAAAGGTGTCTTTTGGAGGGTGGGGGCTTTCCTCAGTGCTATATTTACATTCTTCCTTTAAAACATTATTTCTCTGATAGCTCACAAATCTCCAAATCGATCTGATTACCCATATCTTTGATCTGAGGGCTTTTAAATTTAATTTCTGTTACTGAATCTGTATAAAGACTGTCTTGATGCATCCTTGTTTTCATAGCAAGATTCTGTAACTAAAAATACAAGACTTAACAGTTCTGTTTGGCAGTGGTTTTGTTAACAGGAAAAATGAGGCATTGGCTCCTGTGCAGTGATACCAAGAGCATTGCTGGAGTACTGGTAACCTTCTGTGTAAGAAAGCTCATACAGAAATGCTCTTTGCCATTTGAAGAGCCCACAGACTGTAATTTTAGTTGTAGTGGCTGGACAAGTGTAACAGATACCCAGACAATGAAAAAACAATAATTAAATAGCATCTGGTCTTGATTGACTCCACAGAAACTAAGATATACCAGCAGATATATCTACCTTCTCAGGCTGTTGAATGTAGGACCTCAAATGCTGGAGATTTGCAGGTCCTTTGATGTTAAGTTGGTGAAATCCATCATATATATATGTAAAAACTTCAGCCTTTGTCACGAATGGTTGGTAGGAAAAAATGTAGCAGGAAAGCCCATGTAGTTGTGAAATTCAGACCTTGTTACCACACAGTCTTTGTAGCTGTAAAATTGTCAAACAGGGAAAGATGATTAACTTATTTAAACCGACATAGTCAAAATTACAAAACTAATGTAGTGAAAACTAAAATTGCATTATACCCGTATACTTTTCCCTTTTCTTATACTGACACAAGGTCTATCAGCATAAATGCCAACATAGGTATGTATAGCCTGGCACTTTAGTCAGGTATATTTTCATTGAGATACTGTATCTAGTTCCTGAGAGGTCTTTAAACATTGCTGCCTCCTGACATTTTCAATGCTGCAATTAATAATAAAACTTTTTGTTATTATTGCAAGTTTATTGAGTTAACAGACTGGTGACATAGATCACAGTCAGGTGACAAACTTTGTTTTTAAGTTTTGCCATTCAAAGCACTCATAAGCTAGCAGCCTTGGGAGGCTGGAATCCACGGTCTCTTCGTCTCCTTCCCAACGTTTGTCAGCTTATATGTTTGACAGCTCTGTTGCCTCTGAACGGTCAGTATTTTTCCTGTCCATGTGATTGTTTTCATGCTTCAGGAGGACGTACGTGTATTTTAAGACTAGAATATGACTGTAAAAACAAAAATTGTTCCAAAAATTTTTAAAGCAAAGCTAGTAGCTTATATAATTTCCCCCCTAAATGTTCTAAAAGTCCCTTTACTGTAGTTTTAAGGCTGAGTCGAGTTGATCATCTAAAAATATTTCCATAGCCTGGTTTCAGCTACAGAATATGATAAATTTATCTGATTTGCATCCCCAGGTAATAAACAAAAGAGCTCTTGATACTACATGTCTTAAAACAAGCCTATTGTAAATAAAGGATACAGTTAACATAAGACAGAAGTGTCCTTAGATGCGAAAAGATTTAATATGTAGGATAAACCTAGTTGCAGTTATTTTAGATGAAATTGTTCTGGAAAAAGATTGTCTGTTTATGTCTAGTTTGAAAAGAAATTAGCAATTATTTGTTCTTAAAGATGATACATAAAATGTGATGGCTGCGGTCAAATACACTTGATCCTGAATGCAAGGTGTCTAAGGGAAATGAAGCAGCCAAGCTTAGATTCAGTCTCTCCAGTGACCCTCTATAAAACTGAATACTCTGAATATTCCTGTTGTGCCCAGTCTTCATGTGATAGACTGAATGAGAATTTCTGCCCCACATTTTTGAGGGATTCTTCTGCCTCAGTTTCTGGCCCCACGCCCCATTTGACATTCAAAGCCAAATCAAACACCCAAATAAGGATGCCTAGGACATACTTGTGAAGAATCATGATTGTAAAATGACAGCTAAGATCCTTCCAGAAATAAAGCAGAAGCTGTTAACCACATAAGGAGGTAAAAAAGTCTCCCCACTTGAGTGATGGCACTTGAATTCTGTCACTGATTTAAGTCTGATAGTTTCTCTCATTTTTCTGGAAGATTATTAGTCAGAATTGTTTCTGAGGCAAATCAATTAATTTTTGAATGGCAGCTACTTAAAGCTGCTTGTTGTCCTGCAATGTTGGCTCAGGTTCTGGCTAGCAAGTTCTAGAGCGAAATACGACTGAGATGGTCGGGGTGCCTGTTTAAGGCAGTTCTTCATGTGGCTGGGGCTGCTATTAATGTAGCATGCAAGCATGTTTAAAAATAGAAGTTACCCAACCACACCGGTTTGCAGTATGTCAGACTTTGCAGGTGCATTTGAAGATGAAGGAATTGGAACATTAGTGAAGATTTTTTTATCATGGGTGCTGATGTGCTGTAGTAATGCCAAGTACATGCTGTGATCTTCATGGAACAGCTGCAATTTCAACAGCTGTAGTGATGTTCTGATTTATGTCACTTAGGGATGTTTTGTTTTAACTTAGGCTAAAGTTTTGTGCCACAATACAAGAAAATTTAGGGAAGAATTAGTAAGTGGTGGTTGTTAATTACTGCTGCTGAAGTTATATATATACTTAATTTAGAACATCTGAGCTGTGACTAGCAGTTATACTTTGCTTTATTTCTAATAAATGATGAAACTGCTGGTGGATGTTTTTTATTAGTAAATGTGTCCATCTGGTTTTCTGGAATTATACTGTCACCAAACAGGCATCAGATCCTAAAATGCATAAGCCCGTGACTGGCAAAGTCTGGTGGTTGCCTGTGATTTTTGGCTTCTTTCGTGATTGCCTCCTTATGATAATACTGTGCTTTGGAAGGTTTTATCACACCCAGAGGCCTCCAGCTTGAAACATACTGAGGTAATTCATGCGTATGATGCCAAGTCATAGCATTACGTACAAAACACTTTCCAGTTATTCAGTAGAGAAATAACGTTTCCACTATCCAATGGGGGATAATAATTTTACTCTCTTGCCAGTTGCACATGTTATTCATTGAAAATATTTTGCCCAGTGGGACGTGGAAGCAACTAATTTGATTCTAGTTCTGTCTGGAATACGATTTTGTTAAGAGTCACTGAAAAGTTTGCTCAAAACTTTTTGTAGTTATTGGTCTACCATTAAGAGGCTTGCCTTTTTAATTGTTAATTCAGAAATCCAGACCATTTTCTCTCACAGGAGCTATTTTTTTAAAGCCACTTTTTAAAAGACCGTTAAATTGTGTAATACTATTTCTAAACTTCCCTGTGGTGTCTGTATTTTCATGTAGTCATCTCAGTCTCTGAGATGTTCATTTATTTCATAATAAAACAGGGAACCTGAGATTAGATGATTTCTCAAAATCTCTTCCAGTTTCATTGCAAGAGCCCAAAACAACTGGTTTATCTCTGTCTAAATTATTCTGAAAAATTCCAGTGGAGGAGGTTCACCGCCACTGAATGCCATTTTTTGTCACGCTTCACTACGCTTACCAGTAGAGTAATTTCATAATACTTTGATTGAGTTTCCCTTCCTGCAGCCAGGCTTATTACTTCTCACCTGATCTCCTGTAGACACAGAGGACAGTTCATTCCCTTCTCTCCCGCAGTCTTTTCCCCTTTGAAGAAAATGTCCCTTGTAGATTTTGCTTCTGTGGATAAAATAAACCAAATTTTTTCAGTCTTTTCTCCTTGTCACTTTCTAGACATTGATCATTTTTGTTGTATT